CGGTGCTTGACAAATCCCAGTTCAGGCTTTCCAAGCCTCTGCAATCAAGGGAGTCTGCACACTCCAGAAAACAAAGAACACTTGCCTCCAAGGACGGCTGCTGGCCAAAGAGACCCGATATTCGGTGTGTGATGAGGTCCAGGCTGTCCATGTGCGTGTCACAGGAGTACAGACCTTTTTCTCTGTGCATGCACCACAGCAGCTCGCAGGAGAACCAGTTGGCTTGCAGGTAGTCATAGAGCTCCGGGCTGACCACGTACTTCACCAGCTGGGACAGGGCATCCAGACTTGCAGCTGAAGGGGAAAACACGGCCTTGTGCAAGGCCAGCGTCAAGTTCTCCTTGAAGGAAGAGGAGATTTCTGCTTCCTTCACACTCTTCTCGAGCAGTCGGACAGTGTGATAGACAGAAAGGAGCACCTGAGCAGAGGGAGAGAGCTCATGGAGGATGGCTTTGTGAAAGAAGGACACATCCACAAAAACAGCCTGGACTTTTTGCCACTCAGGGTTGAACTCCTTGAAGACTGTCAGCATTTTCTTGACGCTGTGTCCTGTGTCATCCTTCAGCAGTGACAAGTGCACCACTTTTCCCACTCGCTCCTCACTCTCAACAAGGAAAGCGTAGAGAACGTGTTCCCCCTCACTTGGCACCCTGTGCAGCAGGAGGCTTTCGGGGAACTGCATAAATGAGCTCTTCATCTTGCTGGTCTGGAAGCTGAGTCTGTCCAGACCATGGTCGGTGTTTGCACTAATTGAGGCCAGTGAGCCCCCATCCACCCTCAGGAAGGTTTTCATGACCTCAGCAACCCTGACGAGCGCAGAGGCCGAAGCGTTCTCCTTTGCTGCCTCAGGGAGTGCAGGAGCCCTGTATGGAACAGGCACCCTGTCCACTGGTTGTCCCGTGACCACGTGCAAGTCCTCATCCACTGCAGCACCGCTTTCTGTCTCACTCGCCTGCTGCTGCTTACACAGTTTTGCTGTGGGGCTGCCACGTGCCGTGGTGCTTGCTGTCGCAGTGGTAGCTCTGCTCAGGGAAAACACTGGGTCCGCATGGACATGGTTGTCATTCAGTTCGCTGATCACAAGCCGGTCTATGTCCTCGTTGTATTGCAACACAAAATAAGCTGGACACAAGCTGGGCTGCTGCTTTCTCTTCTTGCTGTATTTTTGGGTGCGGGCACAACCAAACTTCACCTTCATGAACCTACAAACATTGAGAAAGCATTACCGGGGAAGCTATGGTGGTGTAGACTGCTAGCATTTCACTTTGACTTTTCTTGCATGCCAACTCTATATTCAATTAGTGAGCACAAAACACCACGCATGCCACTCAGACACGTGGGATGGCTTTCTACTCAGCAAAGCCTGGGGTAAAAAAAGCTCAACACAGGAGAAATGAAGGAACCAAAAGTTACAACAGCCACAACCAGACATTACAAAGCATCCCCAGCTCTTGTTCCCAATGGTGCCTCTGTTTCTGCTCTCCTGAAACAGCAAAGCCATCAACAAAAACTTGATATCTGCGTGTTTGTGTCTTACTCCCTTAAAGCACATATCATTTCTGCAACAACTCTGCATCTGGAGGACCAGGCTAGAACATAGCAAGAAAGGCTTCAAGGCATGAGATTAAATTATATTTTAAGAAGGCAAGAGGAACAGTTGTGTAACTGGAGAATGACCTTGCAGCCTTTTCACACACAAGCAGATCCACTGACTGGGACGGAAACAAGACAGCATCACTAGACCTGCTCAGATAAGCGAAAGCTGTGGAATCAAGTACTGCTGGAGGGAAACCTGACAAAACCTCTCCATTGCAGTGAGGTAAAGGCAGCGAGGGAATGCTAACAGATGCCAATATTGAGCATCCTGCTACTTGAGTGGAAAAAGGCAGGAGCTATAGTTTGCCAGCAACCTCAAAGATCAAAGCTGTGGGTTTTGCTACAAGAGGCAGAGAGAATTGTCGAACCAAAAGGCAGAGTCAGGCAGGGCTAAGCAGCAGACACAGGACAGCAGAGTGGCAGCTGGGATCGAGGGGGCAGTGAGAGGGCTGGGACACAGCTAGGCAGCCCGGGGCTTGCTAAGAGTGACACAAGAACAGCTGAGACTATGAAAACAGCAAGTGCATGACATAACCAACAGCATTTTTCTCTGCAGGTGTACAACACTGTCAGGATCAACCCTTCGGAAGTCACAGCCAGCCTGGTTATCAAGGCATTCAGCCAGGTACAGACAAGAGCTCACGCCCTGCAGAAGAGCCCTGGTTTGGGGGTTGAGAGCTGCCTGACGGCTCTGCCTGCGGCGTGCTCCGCGGCCCCGCTCCCCCGCGTGGGGCCTCCTCCCGGGGGCACCGACCCTGCCCGGAGAGCAGCGC